ACACAACAGCTTATTTTTCTTAAGAACGTTCTACAGTATAGGAGCCCCATGATCATTCTTTCTGTGCCCTGGCATCTCCTGGCCCCATGCCCTGGTCCACCTCAGGAAGTGAAGGAGCTACAGTGGAATAAATGCAGCCATCACAAACAATTCCAAGTCATTTTAAAGGACATGGGAAAATGTTCTGTGTACAAATTTGAGTTAAAAAAAAGCAGGATAAACTGGATGTATAGTATGATCTAAATTTGTTTAGACACACATCTTTACATGTACAGACATTCAAAAATGACTGAACATTTTTCAGAAAAGAGCCACGTTGGCTATCTCCAGAGAGTGGAATTACATATGAATTTTACTTTGTTAGCTATATTTTCAAGTGTTTTTCTTTATAATCAAAAATAATAATATAATGTAACCCAAGTAATTGCTGGAAGCTAAGAACTATCTTGGTAGAACTAGTACTATGTCCTTAAGGTAGTTGCTTATTTCAGAAATGGTCTGTATGGTATAATATAAATTAATTCTGCAAAATTTTCAAAAGTGTTCACTCACCATCTTACTTGACTTATAGTCAAGAATCCCCACTCACACTATTTTTCTTCTCTCTTCCCTCTTACCATCCATGGTTTATCTGAGGCTGAGAAAGTAAAAAGAAAAAATAGAGATACGGTACACTATGCACAAAAGGAAGCTATGGAATTCTTCCCTGGACTCCTTCTGACTCCTCTTAGGACCACTATGGCCTAAGTGGAGGAGGGACAGCATAGAAAACCAGCAATGTTGAGCAGCTTGTAGTTTTACAAATAGTGGAACGCTTAAGAACCCTCCAACAGCAAAAGAAGAAATGTTTTTGAAGGATGTCAGAAGATTTTCTGCCCCAAATTTACTGGATCTGTCACCAGCAGCATGGAACATCTCAAAAGTTGCTTGGCAAGAAGACTAGATGATAAGCTCCTTGAGGACAGGGACCACGCTCTTCCTCATATTTTTTGCATAGAGGTTAGGACAGTGCTTCACACATAATAATGCCCAATAAATGTTGAAATAAAGAAAAAATATTTGAGGGAGTTAGATGGCTACAGATGCCATGTCTAACAAGTTTATGAATGCAGGAGACTGAGCCTAATTGTATTAAAGGCCAATGGAGCTTGATGGAATCATTGATCATGAAGGGATGAGTCATGAAACGTGTTGGGGAGTATGTAGCATTTAAAGGTATGCATCAGAAAGAGGAGTGAAAGGGACCAAGAAGAACAAGCATGTTTAATTATGATTTTATATTTGAAAAGTGAAAAAAATATGTGCATTAAAGATTCTCAGGGGGTGGGGTGAGAGGCCTGGATGTTAAAGTACTTTGTGTGAAGTATATGTCCAAACCCAAGTGCATATGCAAAACTGGTCAGAAAGTATGGTGTATTCATGTGCATGAATTTTTAAAGTTTGAGAGCCACTGGACTAAATAATTGGGTTCCCCATTCAAACTTCCTTATTGCTAAGAAAATAGAGCTGCCCTTTAAATATTAATAATCATGGCCTTCACTGTCTCCAGTGCCAGTGATTATTCCTGAACTACTTACCATATTTCCAACCCTAAATATTTATCTTTATAAAAGCTGAGGGGATAATACTGACGATTTTTTTCTTTTCATCTGTTTAAGATCCAATTAACAATTTCTTTTAAAAAATTTAAAATGCTTTGGCCTCCATGCTTCTAGGGTCCTGGTGTTTATTATTAGAGCAGTGTTTGTCTGGAAAGCAGGCAACAAACATAATAAAATATGATCACCTGGAGAAAAGGAGTCTACATGTAGATAACAGAGAAAAATACACACATTGAGTACAGTCATCCCTCGGTATCCTCAGAGGATTGGTTCCAGTACCGCCCCCACCACCACCCCACCCGCCTAATGCCAAAATCCACAGATGCTCAAATCCCTGATATAAAATGGTGTAGCACACTTGCATATAACCTACACACATCCTCCCGTATTCTTTAGATCATCTCTAGTTTACTTATAATACCTAATACAACATAAATACTATGTAAATAGTTGTTATACTGTATTATTTTTTAATTTGTATTTTTTTATTGTTGTATTATTTTTATTGCGTTTTTTCGCATTTTTGATCTGCGATTAGTTGAGTTGTGGATGTGGAACCCGTGGACCCAGAGGGCCGACTGTGCACTGGGTGGGAGAGGGAGCAGGGATGATTAGCAGAGAACAAGAGAGAAGAGAGACCCTTGTCAACAGGATAACAGGGCCCAGCCATTCTCTCCAACAATTCAGGCAAATGAAGGCAAAGTAAAAGCCCAGCAGACATTTGTGTGTCTACCTCGTATACAAGTTCATGTTTCCTAAGAACCACTAACATATCCATCCAAAGCGTGCTTTTCCTAAGCCTCAATGCATTCCAAAGTGGAAGATAATTGAAACATTGATTTGTACATTCAAATATCAGGCCAATTATTACACCTGAGAAGCCTCTGCTGGTTCTCAGAGCTCCAGGTTAAAACCCTGAGGAAAGATCAATTAAGCACCAGTTAGCCCATTTCTACAACCTGGGTAGTCAGTTGGCCACGACACAGGTTTCTCTCGCTTCATTTTCAAGTTATTTTCAAGAAACATTGACCACAGATAAGCATTTTATGACTTTTAGCAGTGAGTGATAAAAAATACATTTCCATTTCATCCTTAAACACTCCTATGAAACTATTGTCTATAGAGGCTTCACAGTTAAAGGTTCTTACAATTTCTTATTTTCCCTACACTTCAGAATCTAACAGAAGAGAGAATACTGAAGAGAAAAACAGTCCCCAAGTAAGAGACTGTACAGTACAAGGTATTCCTGAATTTCTTTAGTAAATCTCACCCCAATCCCAAAAATGTATCTCTTACAACGCATCCCATAGCTGGGTGAATACATTCCACAGTGGTCGGTAAGATTTCAAGATTTGAAACTTGACTGTCAGGGTCCATATCCCATTTATTAACCTCAAGATCTTGGATTATCACCCCCACCATACCCTACCTCAGTTCTCTTTTCTGGGTAACAGGAATCCTGATAGTAATACTGTACACCATAGGGTTATTGCCACGAGGATTAAATGAATTAATCCACCTTAAATGCTTAGCACAGTCTCTAGCACATAGAAAGCACCCTATAAATGAAAATGAGGTTAACATTATATGAATAAGAGAAACCATACTATAAGTCATTTTAAGACAGGTTTTTAAATTTAAATTGTCAGCAGATCCCTGCCTTCACTCTTCAAAATGAGGCACTGAGACAAGTTTCTAAGATGACTTTGAAGTAAAAGGTCATGTGACAAAGACACGAGTCATCATATACCAATTCAAATTCCATTCATTAAAAAATAACTTATCTATGTTGATTAAAACCATTATCTTCTGAAATACTACCTTTTCTAAACACTAAGCCTTCAGTCTATAGCTAAGCATATTAGAAGCCACGTAGCTTGCTCACTAACAAAATGCCACATAACAAACTTCTAACAATGTTTCTTGTCCACAGATTAATAACAGCTTAATTCAAAACCACATCACTTCCTTTTTCTGCTTGATTTCCTTCAAAGTAAAGTATAATTTTTTCTTGGACCTGGAGTAAAAATTTCTGGATTAACTAGGCAAATCGTTACCAGAAATGCAATTTTACAAAAATACTACTTCAGGGTTGTCAAAAAACATAAAACATCTGTGTGGTGTTTGTTAATACAAAAACATAACCCAATATATACAGTGTATACCACCTAAGAAGAAAATTGAGTCTATAACAGGAAGTGCAAACAGAAATCATCATCGATTCCATCACTGTTGTGTTTTTAAGTCCAGTTGGAAACATTTTAAGAACTGTGACACTATGGCTTCCTTTGGTCTTGACCAGAGATCACAAATTGCTTGGCACAGATGTTTTGTTTGGCCAACACACTATTTGAAAAATCAATGAACTCAAATATCTTTAGATGGGCCATGCCCTCTATTTACCTGACATGCTCTTAAAGTCATTTTATTTTGCAAAACCTGGTCTAGGCCCATCCTTACAGAGAAGAGATCGAAAGACAGTTATTAGTTAAATGGGTACCTGCTTCACTGATGGCCCGATAAAGTCCAGAGACATGGAAATTAAGGACAGTAATAATTACATTCAGATGAAGGAAATGGTTAATGGACTTCTGTGGTCAGTACCCAAGGACGTGTTCACTTGGTGAACTCGCAAACGAGTTAACCAAGAAATGTCAAGGACTGCAAACAATCCTTGAGAACGCTTGAAGTTGTGAGGACACTTTCTTGGGATGTTCCCAGGAGGCACATTATAGATAACCAAGTGCTTGAGAAGGGAGGTAATGGCCTTCTGCTCTTGAGAAAAGTATAACAGAATTTATGCATTAATGCTTATCTCGCATGCACAACTTGCAAAATGTAATAAAAGCTGTAACAGCGGCTGGGTCGGCACTACTTGCCTGAGAGAGCAGTAGCCCCCTGCTCTTCACCTGCATCTCATCTGCTGCATCTTCCTTCACGTCTCCAATCATTTTAATCAATATTCAGAAATTCTAATTTGCTTGTTGGGTTTATTTTATTTATTTATGTATTTGCTTATTTATTTATTGGCTGGCCAGTATGGGAAACTGAACCCTTGACCTTGGAGTTACACAGCTGTGCTCTAATCAACTGGGCTAAATGGGCAGCCTGGGTTCATTTTAAATATATATTTTTCAAAGTGTATGTATCTCACAGTGACTCATTTGATTAGGATTGCTGATCTGAGTTGTTAAAATTCACTTACAGCTGGATACCAAAAGAAATCAGAAAACAGAGAATTTTTTAAAACATGTTCTTGTGGTATGAAAGTCTGGACTAGAGTCTAAATTTTACATTGTTTTCCAAAAATGAATAACATTCTGTCGATGGTTTATTTTTCTTCATGTAAAAGGAAATGAATTTACTCAATGTAATACTTAAAGAGGAGCTAGTTTCTACTGATGCATTTTAATGAATATTTATATATGTACACACATATAGAGACACACACATATATACATATACTCAGAGCAGGGACCGAGTCAACTATTGCTCTTTTCCTTTTCAGTTCCATCGTACTTCCTGGGAGATACTATTCCACGTACAGATTAAGCCTGAGTCTAGGACCAAAGAAGAGAACATTGGAGAGGGTTTCCTAAAGCATTAGTTCATGCATTACTCCAAAGGTGTTAGGTTTTAAGCAATGACGAGGCACTAGCTAGCTGGTTTAGAGTCCAAATCTTATTAGTTAAGTGTTCTTTTAAATTAACGCAGAAGAACGCTTCCATTCAGACAGCCCCAGTAAGTACACCCTTGTCTCCAGCTTCTTCTTCAGAACACAAATACAAGGCACCTTGCAGTGAATTTGCTTCTGGGAGGGGTGCCCCTGAACTCTCCTGGATTAGTCTTTCTGAAGGTTCTGGAGAATTCTCTCTCCATCTTGGACTTGAGTGCTGTTGGGAGACTTCCCATATTGAAGGACATGGAGAAGGAAAACCCAGAGCAGACCGAGAGAGGGGATCCTCTTGGAGGCCTACTTCTTGGATACACCTGTTGGAAAGCACTTCCTTTTCCTTTGAATTCCGCCATTTCATCCTTCGGTTCTGAAACCAAATTTTCACCTATTGATAAAATAATTGGAGAAAATGATCACTTGTTCCAGGTTATTTCACTTTAGTATTTTAAGCTGTAATTGCTTCCACTATCCCTCCTACAGAATTCCTTAGTATGACAGCCAACCTGGCAAAGTTCCTGTGGCTTTTCACATGGACTCCTTCAAAAATGTCTGAGAACTAACTTACTCGCATGTAATATCTCCACACACACTTCTGAAACAAAATGACTGTAGTAAATTGGTTACTTCTTGGGAAGTCTGATATCTTTCAAAACTGACTTGACTCTTTTTATTTTAAAACATCACTTATTCTGTGATAAATTATTTATCCCAAGGAAATATATGGACTAGTAATAGCACCTAAGTGTTTATTTTATGCCAGGCATCGGACTACATAGTACAGTAGGTGGATTTTACAATTTGATCCTGACAATCCTGACAATGGCTGTAAGAAGTCCTCATTTTGGGCCGGCCCGGTGGCACACTGCTACAGTGCGCCGCTTGGGAGTGCGGCGGCGCTCCCGCCGAGGGTTCGGATCCCACATACAGACCGGTTCCCGCTCACTGGCTGAGCGAGGTGCGGGTGCAACACCGAGGGTTGCAATCCCGTTGCCGGTCGGTCTGGTACGGGCGCGACACTGAGGGTTGCGATCCGTTGCCGGACACACAAAAAGGAAAAAAAAAAAAAAAGAAGTCCTCATTTCACATGTAAGAACACTGAGATTTGGAGAAATTGACCAGCTCAAGTTCACACAGCTGGTAAAATGAAAGTGCTTAGACTAGAACCCATGATTGTCTGACTCCAGGGCCCAGGCTCTTGTAAACATTCAGTAGTTTTTTGAGACTAAATTAAGAATATATTTTATAACACTTTGATAAATTGCACTTTATACAGTTTTCAAGTCTTGATTACTCCCGGGATTTATCAAACTCTAAGCATTAGTCTCAATAAATAACAATTGATTGTAATTAAGCCAAAAGTGCTTATGATAGTGGTTCCTAATTTGAGTCATACCTTCATATCACTCACCCAGCTCCAGTCTCTCTTTATTATTAACCTCTCTGTTTATCCACTGTGTAGCCAACTGTGCTGAGCAGAAAACTTCACAATTGTTTTCTTGATATCTTAAAAGCCAATCACATTCTTTTCCTGTGTATTACATTACATCCTTATACCAACGGTTTAGTAGATTTCTATTTTAAAACAAAAACTGCAATTTTTTTTTATCTAAAGAAATAATTATTAAAATACACCAACAAAATATTTCTCTCAATGAAAGAAAAAATTCTGAGAAGATCGTTCCAGGTTGGCAAAGCAATTTCTTCATTCTTTCAACTTGATTGGCAATGTTCAAAATGGCCACAAAAGAAATTGACCACAGGCAATTGAGTCCAACAAACTGGATCTCAGTTACAATCCTGTGATTAAGGCTTTTCATAAGAAAACAGTACTAATGTGTATATACCAGAGCATTTGGTTCTATTCATGAACACATTTATTATTTGCAGCGGGTATTTACTCCTAGAAAGCATGCCAAGTATTTCTAATGGGTTTTCACTGAGACAGTTATTTGTTCCCATTTGTGATTCCTGCCTTTTTCATCACATTTACTGTTTTTTCTTCCCTCCACTTTCCTGTACATCTGAAAATATTTGTGATATCTCAATGAATAAAAATCACAAAAGGAGTTTCTTCATAATCAATGGTGTTGGGACAAATGTATATATTTGGGGGAAAACATACAAGTTCTACCTCTTAACAAATACAAAGACAAATTCCAGATGGATTAAATAGCTAAACATAAAAACTATAAAAGTTCTAGAAGAAAATATAAGAGATTATCATTATAGCCCTAGGAGATGAATGTTTTCTTAAGCATGCCATGAAACATAGAGGCCACAAATGAAAAGACAGAGCTGACTACATAAAAATGAGAAATTTCTATACAAATAAACACATCATCAATGTATGAAAAAGTCACAAACTACTCAAAAGAATTAAAAGCAGGGACTTGAAGAGATATTTGTATGCCCGTGTTCATAGCAGCATTATTCACAACAGCCAAAAAATGGGAGCAACCAAGTGCTCATCAGCTGATAAATGGATAAACAAAACATGGCCATACACATACAATGGGATATTATTCAGCATTAAGAAGGAAGGAAATTCTGACACACGCTACAACATTGATGAACCTTGAAGAAATTATGCTAAGTGAAATACTCCAGTCACAAAAGGGCAAATGCTGTATGATTCCACTCATATCAGATGTTTAGAATAGTCATTCATGGAAACAGAAAGCAGAATGGTGGTTGCCAGGGGCTGGGGGGAGGGGGAAATTAGGAGTTGTTTAATGGATACAGAGTTTCAGTTTTGCAAGACAAAAATGTTCTGGAAACGGATGGTGGTGATGGTTGCACAACAATGTGAATGAATATTCTTAATGCAAATGAATTGAACATTTAAAAAAAGGTTAAAAGGGTGAATTTTATGTTATGCATATTTTACCACAATAAAAAAAATCCACAGACTTGGAGATTTTTGCAACATCTGTAACAGGAAAATGTTACTATTCATAATATTCCAAATATATTTATTAACAGCCAAAATAATTGCTGCATAACAGCAAAAAGACAATATGATAGGAAAAATTACACAACCATAAAAAGGCCAATTCACAAACTACAAATGGCCAGTAAATGATTAAAAATCCCTCAAATTCTTGGTAGTTAGGAAAATTCAAATTAAAAATAGCAAATACCATTGCCCTTGAGACTGTCCACATTTTTTAAAATGATAAATGGTGGATGGTTTGCAAAAAGGGACTTTTTGTTAATAAGAGTGAAAATTTGATGTAATTCAGTACTTAATTTGATACAATATTATCTCTGGAAAGGAATTTATAATCTATCACAATTTAAAATGTACATACATGTTAACATATAAGTCCCACTCCTAGTTCCCTCTTACAAAAATATTTTAAAAGTGCATAAAGATATGCAGTAGTGAAAACTGGAAGCAACTTAAAGTTGAGGATCACTAAATGAATTACGATATATCCATGCCATGGTCTGTTATAAGACAAAAAAAGAATGAAGTAGATCTGTATGTACTGACATGGAAGGATGCATTCCACAATATTTGAAAGAAAAAGAAAAACCACAAATAAATATACATTGTCTGCAGCATTATTCATAACAGCCAAAAACTGGGAATAACATGTATGTCCACCATCAGCAGAATGGACAGATTGTGATAGCCCATGTAATGGTAATACTACACAGCAATGAGGATGAATGAGCTACTGCCACATGCAACACGAAGAATCTCACAAACACAACGTTAAGTGAAAGAAGTCATATACAAAGAATATGTACTGAATGGTGCTATTTATAGAGTACCAACACAGGCAAAACTAATCCATTTTGTTGGAAGTCAGGATAGCGGATATTCCTAGAAGGAGCAGGAAGTGACTGGGAGGTGATATTCGGGGGACTTCTGGCTTCTGCTGCTTGATCTGCATGCTGGTTGTACTGGTGAGTTGTACACTTCTTCAGGAAAAGCCAAAATATGTGCACAGTATGATTCTCTTTTTATTTAAATATATATGTATACACAATTCTGGGTCTCAGCTTTTTCATTTGTAAAGTAGGGGTAATAAAAGTAGCTATTTGATGGGATCTTTGTTAGAATTAAATGACATCAGATGTGAGGGCACGTGGTAAGCATTATGCAAGTGTTTGTGTTATCGTATGTTTCTGCATATACAACCCACATACAATGACACATACATGATGTGTCAATATATTCAAACAAGAGCCATTTAAAAACAACAGTAGTAAGCAAGGAGTTGAATTAGAGGAGACTAAGATGAGTTTTCATTTTTAACTGCACTGATTTCCCTTTTGTTTGAGTTTACCATAATACCATACATAGTGTGACATGTATACAAATAACAAAATGTTAAATTACTCCTGAGATGTTCCACCATATTCAATAAGACAAAAAGCATTCTTTCCTGAGGCACCTGAATTTTAAAAACAATACAAATAACTATGTAAAACTATATGCTTATGTATAAGAAGCAGAAGATAACATACAAATAGGAAAACTGTTGCTTTCTGGAGGGTGGAGAGAGATTATAGTCACCCCCCCATACATTTTTTTTAATATGGTAGTTGCATTCTCTTTTCAAGAGTCTCTTTTTAGGAGCACGATATTTACTATCAGAGATTTTCACACTTTCTCAGAGCACTGTGAGATCAAAACCAGATACTATCCATCTTTTAACACCTACTTCTAGTTCTAACTCTGCAAAGGCTCCCCAGCCCCCCGAACCTGCACATTTTCTCCCCTCTAACTATGGGGCTTTTTATCCACACCAATGAGATGTAGGCCAGGTCTACTGAGCCCCCGTGCAGTGCTCACTCAGGCCCAACAGCTCATCTGAGGACAATTCCGTCACTAGACTCCCCAGGAGGCATAAGGACCTGTCATAAGGGTGTCCTTTCCAGAGATGTGGATTAACATAAAGCTCCACAGTTGCATAGCTTTGAGAACTACTCACCTAGCTTCCTTATTTGGCAGTATATCTAACCTACTAGGTGATGTCCCCTGTATTATTATATCATCTTACATTGTTTAACTTTTCATGACCTTCCACTAGGTGTACAAGTTCCTGTACAAAGAGTATGTCTTACTTTGCGTTTATCAATATTCCCTCTTACTGCCTACCTAACGCAGCATCTTGCACACAGTAGGCAATCAGGATATACCTACGGATTTATCTGTTACATATACACATTGCTCTGTGACATAGATGGCATTTCTATATGTTCCTGCTTTCTTAAATGAGAAACTGAGGCACGGATCAATCAATTAAGGTTATGGGATCATTAGCACCACACAGCAAGGAGGGCATAGACTGGCTGATCTGAGCTGATTGCCCTCTACCACTCCACATTCTGCTTCCCGCTACTCAAAAAAGTTTGTGCGGGTCTGAAGGGGGTTTACAGAGACAGATCACTTCCCTAGGGAAAGGAAGCAAGGTTAAGGAGAGTTTCATCCAATAAAAACTGGGTTTAATAAGGTCCCAAGTTACAAACCAGGTCATTCGTAGTGAGGAAGAATAGAACATATTGGTTAAGACAGAGCCTCTGGTAGCCCTTCAGGGCTTTATGCTAATTTGAAAAATCTAGGTGGCTGTAGGCCTGCACCAGGAAACCTAGGTTGGCAAGCAGAGTACCTTTCAGCTGCCACCATCCCCTTCGGCCAGATTTCCCTTGTACAGTGAACACCCTGAATAACTCTCCATGGTGATTCTAGGTTAAGGAGAACACAAACGCCAAAGTCAGGCTGCCTGGAGTGGGAGCCCAGCTCCAAAACAGCTTTGCAACATAACATTAGGCTTATGTTCAGTGCTCTACATGTCTTCATCTAAAAAACGGGAATGATTATTGTGCTCACTTCATATGGTGATTAAAAAGATGATTAAATAGGAAAATGCCAGTGCCTTATGATGTTAATTATTTATAATAAAGAATACTTTAAATAAAGTATTCTGGACCCCCCAAAAGCCAGAAAGTTTCATTCACAATTACACAAAACATTAATGTACAAGAAAGGTGTGTAAGTGCTGCAGATGCAAAATTACTTAACTGGATTGGACATAAATGCAAAGTGCAAAATGAAACCCATTAAGAGGTATTCATGAGTCATTCATGCTTTCATTTTAAATTGAAAATGAAGAGAAAGACAGGAGAATTGGTTTCTGCTTTTGTAAGAAATTATTTAGCCTGCTTCTCTGAATACAGAGCAAACAATTTATCATGTAAATATCACATCTTTGGCATTTCTCTTCATCTGGGAACAATCCATCAGCCCAATGGCAACAAATGGACTTATTTCCAAATAAGAACATATACGAGTATTTCTACCCACTAAAAAATTATGAAAAGTATTTCAAGAACGCCTCAGGGTCCAGCACTATGCTAGAACAAGAAATATTTGCCAATTGAATGGATTTCACTTTATTCCTTCAGAAATCAGGAGCAGTAGACCCCTTCCTGCTCATTAGTACCTGTGATTCCTTTAAGCCCAAGTTGATGGCAAGTTTCTTTCGATCTGTTTTGCTGATATATTTCTGCTTCTGAAACATTTTCTCCAGAGCCTTTCTCTGATCCTCAGAAAAGACAGCTCTTCTTAAAATGCCCCTCCGAGCTTTAGAATTAGAATCCTGTGTCAGGAGAGGCAGCACCCTTTCTTCTCCTGGGGAGGGGAAGAAAAGACAGCTCTTCTTAAAATGCCCCTCCGAGCTTTAGAATTAGAATCCTGTGTCAGGAAAGGCAGCACCTTTTCTTCTCCTGGGGAGGGGAGATACAAAAAGCCAGTTAGCTTTAAAAAGAAGTCAGTCTGTCTTTCCCAGAAGAGTACGGTATTCTCCTATCTGAACCATGGCCAAATTATCTCTTCTCTGAACTCTTCACACTTAGAGAAGTATTTCTTAACCTTGTTTTGGTTATGAACTCCTTCGAGAATCTGATAAATGCTCTTTGCCACCCGGGAGTTGGGGGGGTGGGTGGCACATATGTTTGTCCTCCTAATTTCGCCTGCTCTGTTGGAAAGTCCATGGTCTCAGGTTACAAAGCCCTACTACAGAACAAGTAGTGGGTAGTTTAAACTCTTGGATTTTCTCTAATTCCTCATTTATTTATTTACTCATTCATTTTTTCATCAAATATTTGAACACTTACCCTATGATAGGCACTCTGAATAGTATACATTCAGAAATGAAACAGATATGTTTTATTGTCCTCATTACCTGTAAAATCTAATGGAAGGGCATCCATTGAGTTAGCATCACAAGTGTGACGAAGTATTCCTAACGAGGGTACTTTGGGAACACAAATCAAGGGGTCCAGTCTAAATCTGGGATGTCAGAGAAAGTTTGCAAGAGTCCAAGATGTTTAATCTGAGATCCAAAGAGGGAGCAGAAGGACTCTCAGCCACCATCACCAGCCCCCCATCCAATTTCACTGATCATCAACTCCTTGAAGTCAGAGGCATTTACTACTTTTTCAGCCATTTTGTGGCTAGCACAATAGTGGTTCCCATCCTCTGAGAGTTCACATGCATTCATCATTCATTCATTCATTTTCATTCACTCATTCTCCTTCCCAGGTGTGGCAGGCAGAATAATGACCCTCCCAAAGATATCCGTGTCCTAATCACCAGAACTTGTGAATATGGTACATTACATGGCAAGGGGGAATTAGGGTTGCAAATGGAATTGAGTTTACTTATCAACTGACCCTGGGATGAGGCGAGTATCCTGAATTACCCAGATGGGCCCAGTGTAATCACAAGGGTCCCTATAAATAGAAGAGGGAGGCAAAATAGGAGTCCATAGCCAGAGACAGATTTGAAGATGCTAAACTTCTTGCAGTGAAGATGAAGGAAGGGGCTGCAAGCCAAGAAATTCAGGCAGCCTCAAGAAGCTGGAAAAGGCAAGGAAACCAATTCTCCCTCAAGCCTCCAAAAGGAAAACAGATTGCTGACACCTGGATTTTAGTCCAGTGACCCATTTCAGGCTTCTAACCTCAATAACTGTAAGATAAGTATGTACTGTTTTAAGACACTAAATTTGTGGGAATCTGTTACAGCAGCAAGAGGAAACTAATTCACTGGGTATCAGGTTCACAAGGCTAAATCCAGCTGAGACCATGGCCCCTGCCCTAAAGAAGCTTATCTTCTATGGGAGGATGGACACTCCATAATGCAGGCACCAGGAGAGCTGGGACACTGGTTTACAGTTGTAGCTGATAACATTTTGGTGCCTGATAATTATTCAGTGAATAAACTAGTAAATGAAGGTCGTAAGTACTAGACCAGAATGATCTGCAATGTGCTCTGGCATTACAAAGGAGGAAATGATGAGTTCAGAGAAAACAAGTTTAGCTAAGTCTAAAACAACATTCCAGTCAAAGAGAGAAAGAACCAAGGCCACCCCAGGCAGTGGCTAGCATGTCTGAAGAATTAAGGCACAAAGGAATAAAGTCCATACAAAGAAAAGCAAGAAGTCTGCAAGGCTGGGGAAAGGCATGAAGCAGAGATTGTAAGCTGGAAACCACATCCAGCCTGCAGATGGGCTTTGTTCAGTTGTAGATGTTGGTTAAGAATTCTGATTTAGTTGTCTAGATTTAGTAACTAGAAGGTTTCATGTGAAGCCCAGGTTTCATTGCCTCTTCAGAGGTAACTACACTGGGGGAAGAGCTACCAGAGTGAGTACCAGGCATCCCTTTTAGATGGAGTATGTGGCCCCCAATTTGCCATGGCCTCAGCTGGATTTTTTACCTGCCCGGCTCTAGCACAGAGACTACAGAGTGGAATGGAGCTAGAGCATAGAGAACTGCAAAGGTTTGGGACATTATCTAGTAGGTAGTGAATATCAAGAGAAGATGCTCAAGCAGGGCAGGACATGATAATAATAAACATGCACCGAGCACTCATTCTGCACGGTTAAGCGGACAGTTAAGCCACTAATGTGCATTATTTCATTTAATCCTCATGATGAATCTATGTCATAAATGCTACTGGTATTCTCCTCATTTTACAGAAATAAAATAAAACTTAGGAAGGGTAAGTAACTTTGCCTAAGTAACTTTGTCACATAGCTAGGGTTTCAAATCAGCCAGGAAGCTGATACCAAAACAAGTCCTCTCAACCCTACACAATACTGCCATGATCTGATTTGTACTTTACAAGGAAAATGACAATAAACCTTGTCAATTTTGTGTCTTTCCTATTTGCTTCTTTCCAATATGATAGCTTCCTTTCCTATTTGTCTAAAATATTACAAACATATCCTGGCTCATCTCTCGGCCCTGGGTTACACCTCATTCCAGTTCATCCTCACAATGCGACCTCACTGACCTCTCCCTCTTCCCTCCCAGTTCTGTAGCTCTGCATCTCCTTAGGAATGTCATAGCCCTGGGATGTAATCAAGACCAATTCTTTACAAACGTCTACTTTCATTGATGCCCTTTCCCTTCATCCTCACATGGGATCTTGATTATTTCCCCTTGTACAGCACTAATTCTTTTTATCTGTCTCATGCCGAGATCATATCTTGAAGACAGGTTTTGTCAATTGGATTCACTATTCTTTATCGGAGATTTAAGAAGTTTTATGAAGTACTGATCAATGATAAAAAAAAAAATCTGAATATCTAAACATGTTCATCTTTTTCTAAATGCTTTTCTTCTCTGAACATTCTTTGATATGGATATCTTGGAACTGGCCCTTCTGCATTATTTCAGAGTACAGATCAACCTGCTGGGATCATGTCTCTCCTGGAAGCCTCCAACAAAGGACTTTGGAGTATGGAAGAAGTGGGTTTAGATCTCGGCACTTACCTGCATGACTTAGAGCAAGTTACCTAGTCTCTTTCAGCTGATCTTATAAGGCTGCTCCAAGGATTCAATGAAATAGCATAAGAAAATTTCAGTGCCTTGCATACATCAAGGATCCCACAAATCTACTTTACTTCCCCTTGTTGAATTTCATTTGATCCTCACAAGAGTCACATGCCATGGATATCCCTCACTACAGATGAAGTGTGAGCAGTCAAGGTCCAAAGCTACACAAATGACACAGAGCTCAGCTGGCACCAAAATGTTCTGAATTCAAATTCTTGGCTCTTTCCTCTTGTATTAGTCCATTTTGTGTTGCTGTAACAGAAATACTTGAGACTCGGTAACTTATAAAGGAAAGAGGTTTATTTGGCTTACGATTCTGGGACAGCTGCATCTGGCATGGGCCTCAGGCTCCTTCTACTCATAGCAGAAAGTGGCAGGCAGTCGGCGAGTACAAGCAGATCATGTGGTGAGAGGAGTCAAGAAAGAGGAAGCAAGAGAGAGAGAGGAGGTGCCAGGGTCTTTTAAACAAGAAGCTCTCACGGGAACTAATAGAGTGAGAACTCACTCATTTATCCCCCTTCCCCCAGGGAGAGCATTAATCCATTCATGAGGGATCCACCCCCATGACTCAATCAGTTTCCAACACTGCCACATTGGGGATCAAAATTCCACATGAGTTTTAGAGGGGACAACACATCCAAACTCCATCACCTCTGCATTACGGCATTCTTAATTTGTAAATGTATCCAATCAAACATTTCTAGAGCCATAAGTATTAAAAATTAGGATAAAAAACTAAATATCCAAAGGCAAAAAAAGCTTGTAAGTAAATCATCCACTTGGTGAAATTTTAAAGAACCATTAAAGATGAGGACTATGAAGATCAGGCAACAGCAAAGAAAATACATTATAATTTTTTAAAGCATGATACATGAGATGTATACTATGCTTACAACTAACTAAGAATGCAGAGAAATGAAGATTAAAAAGGCAAAAATAAACACTAAGATAGGCTATTAAAGAATTACAGACAAATAATCGTTTCCCTGTCTACATTTTAAGTTTGGTTTTCTTTTCTAATGGAAACAAGCAAACATTATAGCAACTTTTTGGGAATAACTAGACAGAGGTATCGAGCTCTTGCTGACTGACAATTGAAGATGAATCCATTCCATCCTTAAGGTCTTCAGACTTGACCACGAATGGCCCAAGAAGAGCACAGTCGTAATAGAGTGAGATTACTACGATAGAGTAACCACAGACCATAGCACAGAAGGCATGTACAGCACTGAGTCTGGGAGGCCAACAAAGTAGGCCCAGCAAGTAGAATAGCAATTCCTCCTGCTGGCAACCTAGGGAAAGACAGGCAGAGCAGAGGGATTAATATTTGCAGAGGCATGAAGCCCAGTGAAGACAAGTATGAAAAATGATGGATCTACGAATCTCACACAGCCTGGTGTTTCCAGATTGCAGGTATGACTAGGAAGAACACAGAGATAAGCTGGGAAGGTACATTAGGACAAAGGTGACTTAAACTAGTTTAGGTTGTAATTAGTCAAGGGAAGTCTTTCAAGAAGGACATGACCAACCTAGCATTTTAGAAATGCAAACATTTTCTGAGTTAATAAAACTTTTTACATTTAGAGTCCAAAACAAATTTACAGACCTGTAAAGGTAGAGTAAAAAATATCCACATTAATGATTTTTTCTAAGTACAGTTTTTATAAGTAAGGCTCAAAATTCCACCTGTTTTAGCCCCTTCATCACCAAGGTCTTCATGGTAAAATTAAACAATGGGGAAATAAAATTTATTTAAATGCCCCTAACATTTTTAATAGAAACCCATATGTT